CCCCACTTATTCCTCCTTTACCTCATTTTTGCATCTTCGTTTGCGCGAAAATACCAGTAGAAAATTCAGTAGATCCGGGACCAGGTTTCGCTTTTTTAGCTAATCACGTAACTGAACCCTTTTGGTTAAATATTTAGCATAATTATTATGCCGTTCTGGCTGAGTTGTGTAACTTACCCGTCGGATAAATTTCCCTCTCATGCTAAATTCCACGGCTGAAATTTCCAAAAAAAAAAAATTGACGCCATCTACAAAAAAGTGTAATGGTCTTTATCCTGGATAAACCAGTATAGTGCAGTGATGATTAAAATCATATCTCACTGCCAAACTGTTTCCAGATTATCGAAAAAAGTGGAACCTATCAAAATCGTTCCAGTTTAATGAGATTTCAGCTGAAATCGTAAAAGGCCCATTGAAAGCGCTAAGATGTGGCGATCAAAAACGGCTGGATTCTAATGAAATACCCAGTACAGTTAACGTTAGAGCCCCCAATGAAGAATTTAGGAAAACCACAACTACCGGAAGTACCAAAAGTCAAAAATTTTGCCACGTTTTTCTTTCTTTATGATAGATAAAGGGCAGATCGAAATAAACCAGTTGGTAGCACTTTGCCAACAGCAACCACACGCTTACAAGACAGTTGGTAGCTCATTCCCCCCAAAGAAAAATGCTAACAAAGTAAGCTGAAGCCGGACCAAGAACCATATCCAATAATCACGATCTAAAACGTGACGCATCAATACACTGCAACAATGCGTAATAAGAGAAAAGCGAAATTTGAAAGAAAATCTATTTCTACAAAAAAAAAAAATGTGACGGAAGTGACTTTAATTACATCGATTTTACATTTTTATATAAGTGTAGAAACTTCGAAGTGTTTAAAAGAATGCCAAAAAAAAATTTAAAAAAGTTCCGATTTTTGCGCAAAAATTGTTTTTTTATTTTTTGAAAATATTGGTCAATTCATTAAGTTGGCCGCAAAAAAACAAAATTCAAAGTGGTTGATCTAGGTAAATCCAAATAAAAAACAAGGAAGAAAAACAACTAAAACCTGAATAACTTAATTATTTTAACAATAGAAAAATAAATTTTAAGGTTATTCCGTGGGAAATAAACTGGAAATCAACTGTAAAACTAACAGATGGTCATATCGAAAATATG